TTAATTTGGTATGCACCAGTTTTGCTATGGAGCAAAACGATGGCTCGACGTATAGAGTCATCCATAGTTATTCACAAATGGTGTATGGACATGTGTTAGTAAATAAAGTTATAGATGGCTCCATAAGGGAGCCATCACCATGACTCCATAGAATTTCTGTGGAACACACATGCATCATCTAGCCAAAACTGCTTCTAATCACAGGACAACCAAGTAAAAGCGCTACTTTTTAAATTTTACGGATATCAAATTCTAGTAAGATTTAGCCACAGCCACCCCCTCCCAATACCGAAAAAACATGCAGAACCAGAGGCGCAAACACCACAAATAAAACTCAAAAATCACAACCACAAATAAAACACAAAAAACTTGTTCATTCATCATTAACTATCAAAGCAAAACAAGGATCCCAACATCAACTGGCAACAACAAAGAGAAGCAAAGTCATGCTCGCACCAACAACTACTCCAAAACACAGTCACAAAACGCAACGAATAATATAGTAAGAACAGACCAAACAGAGCACTCTTTCATTACATTACCAAGAAAACTCGAGCAGATCAACGCAACCTCCTGGCCTCTCTTTCAGACTCCATCAAGGTAAGAACATCGCCCTCCCTCACGGGTCCCTTCACATTCCTCATGATGAATCGGTTTTGGTCATCGATAAACTTGACCCTAACTTGCGTGACCTGGCCACGAGACCCGGTCCGCCCGATAACCTTCACCACAATAGCATGCTTGATCTGTGACTCCATCTGCTAGGATACATAACCATTTTTCAATCGATAATCTTGCAAAATTGAACCACAGCAAGGACAAAGGTAATCACATTTCACATACTCATCACTAATTATGATGTTAACAGATATATTAGAGATACACAACCATTTTTCAATCAATAATCTTGCAAACTCGAAGCACAACAAGGACAAAGGTAGTCAGTTTTCACATACCCATCACTAATTATAATGTTATCCATATAAATATTAAGGATACACAACCATATTTCAATCCATGATCTTGCAAATTTGAACCACATAAAGGACAAAGGTAATCACTTTTCACATATCCATCACTAATTATGATGTTTACTTTTCCATACAAATAACCATTAAAGTAAATATGGGTTCTTCAGAAATAAACATATAATGAAGATTACCATTTGCACTGTGCATAAAAACAGTCCATATTACATACCCTCCTCGTATAGCAGAAGAACAATATTATTCACGAAAAGAACAGCTTAAACTTGATATTCAAGCAGACAACATCACAATTTTGATCATAACGAATGAAATAAACAAGAAATCCAAAATCCAGACAAAAATGTACCTTTCGAACAAATAAAAAATCGAACGAATAGAACAAATTTACTGGCAACACAGGTTGTTTGTGTGCATAAAGCAATTAAAATAAGAGGAGGGATAAGATTTAAGAAAGACCTGCACTCGATCGAAACAAAGGGGGAAGATGACGGCGGACTGAAGGTGTTCGATGAAAGGCAGATAAACCCTAGAAGAGATGGATTGGTCAGTAATGGACGTTTTATAATGGGCCTTGAAGAAATTATCAATTAATTTATCTCTCTTTTTAATTTATAAAATAATGAAATACTACGGTCTCGTTACGGACCATTCTGTTAGAGTTTGTAACAGTTAGATCAACTTAAACGGAATAGTTCCCTAACAGAACTGTAACATCTCCCTATAAAATGTATATAAAGAACGTTCTAATTTTTTTATGTAAATATTTTAATATAAATAAGTCGGATAAAATAGAAGTTCAATAAATTATCGACCATATAAAATTTATGTCGAAATAGTTTGTGGTATTTATATTTATTTTTGACATTATTATTTCAATAATTGTTCATGTACATAATATAATTTGTTTTGCAGATAAGTTTAGGCTCATGCATTAATTTTAAGTTTATATTAGTAAGTAAAATTATTTTTTATTTTATATGTAGAATATAGGTGTTGAATTGAAGATTGTTATATCATGTTAAATTTGATATTGTATATCTATAAAATTAACTCGAATGAAAACCAAAGTAATTTTAAAAGATTAAATGAAAACCATATGGATATCTAAGAAAATGAGAAAGGAAAAATTAAATAATTAAATATTTAACAGAAAAAAATGAAAAGAATAAGTGTATGGATACTTAACTAGTCGAGTATATTGGCAAATTAAAAGTGTACTCTGTAAAATAACTAAACTGAGTATATGGGTAAATTTAAAGTGTATTGTGTAAATAATAAGTTAGGTTTATAGTTTATTTTGCTAGTTTATAAGTTTCTTGTATTCGAAATTTTGGTTTAGTAGGACGATATTTTTTAAAAGTTAGAGCTTATCCCAAAATCTCCATTAAGTAACTTTTGTAGAAAAAACAAAAAAACGTTTATTTTTTTTCAACTGTCTTATCAACTAATTTTTTAAGTAACACTTTTATCATATCAACTAGTTTTTTAGTCACAACTCATTAGCTCAAAATTCACTTAAAGCATCAACAATGTTTTGGGTTTCTTAGAAAAAAAATCACATGTCATGTAGGAAATAGACCTAGTTTATAAAAAAAATGTTTCACAATGCAATTAAAATTGGACCTAGTCTAACTTATGTGGCACTAGAAAAAAGAGACTAAGCCCACACTTGAGTCTATTTTGGACCCAAGTGCAAACCCACCTAAGTCATTAATTGTTCATAATTTTTCTTTTCTTTTTAGTAGGCAAAACACATTTTTTTTGTATGCATTTATTATTACTATATTTTTATTGGTTGTTTAGTATTCTACACCCAGTACTTTGTTGTTTTGCATTGGATAGATTTTAAATTTTTTAGCTTGGATTTGTCCTTGTCATTATGGACTTAAGTCTATTTATTTGTCACATATGCAAAAAGAGACCCAAAGCATTGTGAGTGCTCTTATAAGCCTGTTATCTGCTAGTTTTATCAAAAACGACATAGCAATATGTTTCGCAAGTACCATTAACTAGCTTATAGCTCATTTTCTTAGCTTATAAAGTCTCTGTATTTAAATAAAATTAGTTTGGTAGGACAATTTTTTTATTATAACATCTAGCTTTTAATTAGCCATTAGTTATAAGTTATTAGCTAAATTGATAGCTTATAAAGCAGTTTTAATATGGAGCTATCAGATGGCTCGACTTATGGAGACATCCACATTTATTCAACAATAGTGTATTCACACGAGTTTTACAATAAATACAATTTAGACAGATGCCAACGTTAAGTGGTGAATGACTGCATAAGAAAATCATTTGATGGCTCCATAGAATTTTTGGTTTACAAAGTAGGTATTTAGTAAGCACAAATACTAGTTTATTCTTATCTTAGTTAGCATATAAGTTTCTCATGTCCAAATAAGGTTGGTTTGTTAGGACAATATTTTTTATTTGAAGTTGTAACTTATCTCCTAAATGTCCTTAGCTAACTTAAAAAAAAAAAAGTTGTAATCATTATTTTGACAAATTTATAGTAATTTGACCAAACACTTTTATTATAACATCTAGCTTTTAAGTCATAAGTTCGAAATTCACTTATAAATTTTCAACTAATGTATCAACTATCACTCAAATTTACTAAACATAATCTAAATACCAACTAACTTATCAACTATCAGCTAGCTTTTTCGCATGGAATTACCAAACATAACTTAAGTCACAAATAACTTAGATTAGTTATTTGTACCGTTCAAGTCGACACATGATGACCTAGAATGTGGAATCTGAACAAGCCCGAGTGGATGTTCTGGTTCAAATTTTCAGATTCCAAGCCCGAGTGGATGTTCTGGTTCAAATTTTCACGCCAACCAGCCGGTCCCAGGTCGGGTGAATCTTGGTTATTAATCTTACAACATATAAAAATCCATCGACCGAGATCAAATTGCGCCAAACCCATTAGATTGGGGGGGTTCAGGGTTGGGCTCGGACCCTCCTAGTCAAAATGCTTTGAAGGCTTGAATTGGAACCGGCCCATGTAATGCACGAACATGGTTCCTATTTTGGCTCGGAACCATTGTCAGTGAGCCTGGCCCGCTGAGTTAGCAGGCCGACCCGGCCTGATGGCCACCTCTACTTTACCTTATTCATAACTAGAATTATTGTTATATTTAGGCTATGGTCGGTAAAACAAAATGATAAGCTAGCTGATAGACATCAACTCCAGGCTCCATTACAACAACAAAAGCACAACTCTTGATACAATTTTACATCTCAACCATCATCCGAGTTATCTTATTCGGAGAGAAACCCGGATAAACCAAATATATCACAACAATCCGAGTTTTATTGTATGCAAAAGAAAATGTTTGGAACTTATTATGCGACGAAACGTGCAAACCACTACAAATTAAGCAGCAGCATCAGCAGCAGACAACACCGCATTGACGACAAATAAAGGATCTCCTACTTTAATGCTCTTTCCCTTTCCTTCACTGAGGGAGTCCTTACAAACTATGTTCTGTCCAAAATACACCTGAAACCCATCGTAATATTCATTCATGTTCACAAACAAGATTCTATTTCTGAATTTGCTGCTAAAGTATGAATGCTACTACACTAGCATTTACCTTCCCCTGAGGCTTTTTCTTGTCTGGGCGCAATACTCTATCAGAACGAAAGCTCGTCAGAGTTTGAGTCGGCTCAGATCCGCCAACTGCAGTTTCTTGATTAATTGTGGGTACCTGAAAATATTATAACAATTTTCAAATACATGACAAGATATGAATGGAGTTTTCCCAAAGTGTTGATCGACTAAAAAGACTTTTACCTTGCAACGGCCGCATAATTTAACACCATTGAAGGTTGACCCGTTTATCTGCACCTCTGTCCACAGATCTTCGGAAAATGGTTCACATCCATCTACCACGATACTGCAGACAACAGCAATTTTTACATATCCATATGCTTTCATAAACGAGCATCCCCACAAAAAATAAGGAAGATGAAGACTAGACTTTAGACAACCTATTTGTTAGGTTGAATGTTAGTCCTAAAATAGTATGACATAAAGAATTTATCTAAATGTGCATTTACTGGAAGTCTACTTAGACACGGTGCATACATGAAAAATAAATGTGCGGTTGGTGGATATTGTCGTCAATATATGAACTCACGGTCATGCAATGATGAAAATGAAATTGGGTTACTTGCACATACTTGGGTCTAAAACGGTTGACAGGGATAGGGTCTTGGAGAAGGGAGTTTAAGGCATTCAACGATCCCTGGTAAAGATGAACCAGGCAAATCGATATCATTTTTATTGATTTTTTTTTTTCCCTACTTGAAAATTGCGTTGGTTTCAACAGACCTGAGACAGCAAGAGAAAAGGGTACCCATCAGAAAACATAACTCTGTATCCATGCGCGTAAGCAGGGTCCACATTCCTTACTTCTGATGCTGCATAACAGAATCGAAATCCAATTAGACAAAGGTTCATGATGCTCACACATTGAACACTTACCTATCCATGGCTCGGTATGAAATATTAGAGTTCTATAGCTACATTCTTTTCAGATCGCATCATACACACAACGGCAAGGAAAGCAAAAACGACACACAGAATGGGGTTGTCTAAACAAACGTCTTAATTTAAACATGATAAACAGACATTTTTCTACACGGAGATGCAAACAAACACTTCATTATGTATACATTATATAGAAGCATGAACATAGTACAGTACCATCATTGAAGCGAACGAGCCTGCTGGGCTTCCCGAGAAAATTCGAGAACCATTGTGCAGCAACAGGTCCTTCATCAACAGCCGAACCAGACCATTCCCACACAGAGACCCCATCGATTTTCTCAGCAGGCTTCGCCAATGGCACACTCAGCACATCCATCCCAGGAGCACTTATCACTAAGAACAGATGCAAACTAATAGTAAAATAAACTGGAATGTAACTACTCATATTTGATTGAAAAGCATTCTAAACCTTAACAAACTGCCAGCAACTAAATCCTAAATCTTCTTGTTCGTCATCCTTAATGTTGAAACACCGTAAAAGGGGACAAAAGCACTTAAAATTCAGGTTGATTATCATAACTACCTAAGAATGAACGTTTATTCGGCTCCCAATCGGGACGAAAGGCTTCATCCGGCAACTGGACTTGAACAAGAGCGAGCTTCGACTCAACTCTCTGAGTAACAGCTCGGCCTTTGGAGTTCACCACCAGCCATTGCCTGTCCCACCGGAACCCTACACACGCGCAGCCAGTTACAGAGGAAGGCGCAAGCCCTAATTGGAAGGTAAATTTCGAGCTTCGAAGGAGAGAATACGCGAATTTTCGGAAGGTTGAGCCATTTGGGACGATGGATACATACCTGTGGGAGATATGGGCGCTTGAGGAAGGGAGATACCGCGGCATGATTTGATCGGGTAAACAAATATCGATTTTACGGTGGCTGCGGCTGAGCCACCACCCGAGCCACCGTCCTCCGCCATATTCAGCCTCACTGTTTTATATAAAGTTTTTTAAGCAGTGTTCACTGAATTAAATCGTGTGAATTGGGTTATAACCAAATCAAATCAAATCAAATCAAATCCATCATAATTTTAGAATAAAAAATGCGTACATATTATTATATCATAGTTTATTTAAGTTCAAAATATTTTATTAAATAAATACATATTTAAAATGATACCTATACTTACTCCTATATTATAATAATAATTTTTAACTCGTATATTGAACTTGATATATAAATTTTATTTAATTGATAAATGATTTAGTATTTTTAAATTATTATGATTAGGTAATATAAATTTGTTATGAAGGAGAAACATATAAATTATTATATGTACTATGGATATCAAATGTTAATAAAGAATTAATTTGATATATTATATATGAAATCTAATAACAAATACAAAAATTATTGACTTATATAAAATATATTTATATTTAAAGTTATACAGTGCACTTATAATTTAAAAAGTTCTAATAAATATGGATAGAAGACCGTATCTATATAAATTATTCAAAACATCAAAAAATATAAGATATAATTAAAAAATGCCAAAAAAATGATATAATCTATATCTATATCTATATTCTATATAAAAAGATTTAACATTTTATAAATTTAGCAAGTTTTTCCCGCCAAATCATTAATTATATCCTATATATAGTATTTTTTGTGCAATTGTGAATAAGCAAAAAAAAAGGCTCTTTAATTGTTGTTTCCTTAATTATAGCTTCAAAATTGATTGCAACTTGGTTTCCTTAATTATAGCTCTTTAATTGTTGTTGTGAAATTTATGCCAAAGAGTTTAAAATCGTTTGCAACTTGGTTTAAACTTTCACACAAAAAAATGCAAAATCACACAAAATCATACTGTTCAAAATGCAACAATATCGTCCAACCGGATACATTCTAATGCAACATTTTTATCTTACAAAAAATATGAAAAATAATACCGTCAACTATGATTTTAAGTAAGTTGAATCTTCCAAACAATGTGAAATCAAGATAGATTTTTTAAAAAAAAAAAGGCTATAACAATTTAATCTTCCAACCGGTTATACATATTTTTTTCAATTTTTTAATTTAAAATATATAATTTTTTTATTAAAAGATGATTAAAAAATATTTTTTTTTAATAAGTTAAATACATATTATTTATACCATATTTACAACAAATCACGTGTGAATTGAGGAGAGATCTTTAGTCAAACTAAATAAGAGTTTTCCTTTGTTCAAAGTCTTTAAAACTCATCCAATTCAAACAATATATTTTATTCTTGTTGTAATCTATATATTCCATTTTTCTATCCGAGAATGTCCTACGCAAGCTGTAAGCTTTTTTTTGCCGTCATACATTCTCTTCATCATATTTATAATATCTTCATCATATTTATAAGTTTTTATTATTAATTAAAAAGCCTAAAATATTGGCTTTTGTTCCATACACCATTAAAGATCGTACAAAAAAATCTCATTAACGTATACCCGCCTAAAAAATCTCAAGGTAATTTTACAGAATCTCATAAAAAAATCTCATTAACGTATACCCGCCTAAAAAATCTCAAGGTAATTTTACAGAATCTCATCGCATAAATATCGGCTTTTGGTTCCATACACATTAAAGACTGTACAAAA